TTAGTTAATGTTTCCTTTGACAATTTCTTCACTAATTTCCCACAGTCGTTTTGCAGCTTCCTCATCCTCAGCTTTGGAAGAAGGTGATGTTATTTTACAGTCACTGAAAAATAAAGCATATAGCATTAGTTGTTATGCATTAGATAAAATAATTTGAGAAATACAAAATTTTGCTTAAACGAAACACATAATATGACTAATTATACGTATACTGTTTGAACGTTATGATACTTTCATAGAAGATGCTGTCACTAGGATGGGAAGTGTTTTGCCCGGACATTTTAATAGTCACAGTTTTATTATATTTTTTATTATATTAGAGTTTTTTTTTTTTCAAGTCTAATTTTCCCCTGTGTCTTTTAAAACTTATTTATTTGATATTTTCTCTCTGGCTACCTGTTTATTTGATATTTTCTTTCTGCTTCATTCTTTGCATCCTGCAATATCATAACTTTTACAACTTTTCAGGTTTGCTTGTTCTCTTTGGTCATATCTTTTTCTATTTATTCTATAACTATTCAGTACTGCCGAGTAGAAGTAAAGGTAAAGTCGGGTGCTGTGAAACAGCATCACTGCACACAGTTATAAACCATAAGTGCTCTGCCATCAGTAGAACAGCTAATTTTTAAAAACTGTCCGCTGGTGTCGCCGTCCCCACACAACTCCGTAGCTACAGCGACGTTGCTCCATTTATCCCAGAGTGTTAACTCTTGTTACCTAGAGGCTGGGTGAAACCCCGGGAACCACCCGGTTTCGAACACCAGCTGTGGGCTGCAGAGAGTCGGAGCTGGATTGGAAAGCGAGTCTCCTATCAACTGCGCTCACACTGCCCCATCAGACTGCATATTACTGCCAATTACTTCCTGTTTTTACCAATTTTGTGGTGTGTGGGGAAGGGGGGGGGACCTTTGGGGCTCAGGATTTAAGTAGTCATGACTAGTGCTGTGGCCATGGACTGTGCAGGAAAAAAAAACACATTCTGTTTTTCCCCAACAGACAAAAACCCATGACCTTATCCAGGTTTTGAACCTGGGTCTCCCATATAGGTGCCTATCATTCTTATCTGTTTGGTTAGCTGCTCCTCTCTTTAGTACTACAGGGTGGAACTGTATGTAAAACTCACACTTCATCGGTAAATCATGACATGAAATACCATTGCATACCTGAAATATTTTCCTGAGACTGTCTCCAGGGCTGGGTCTAATGCACAGCGAAGGGTTGTCTGTGCACCTTCTAAAGCTGTCTTGAACAAAAAGTACCTAATAGGAAGCACTAACAGTTTGCCTATGAATGTTGAGTCAATGAAAGGAACATGACGAGTGAGTTCTGTGTTCACTGATCCTGGGTGGAGACAGTTCACTGTTACGCCGGTGCCTGTAAAAACAGTTTCCTTGTGAAATAATACTGTATACATTTGTTGAACATAACATATATTGTTTCCTTAAAAGCCTATGACAAAGTACTAGCAGGGAAATTAAAGTGAACATTTTTAGTGTATGCATCTTTACTATAATAATAAATGCATGAAAGTCAGAGACTCTCTTACAACCAATATGAAGAAAATTGGGACTTTGGAGCTAAAATATTTCAGCGAGATTCTTAAAATACCACTGACCAAGAAAACAAAAGAAATACTGGCATTTTTAAAGGATCAGAATATTGAAGAAAACTGGCTCACAAACAGTGTCTGGTCTTTTTGACTAGTTTTTTAACAATTAGGATTAACAACAGGAAGTCCTTTCGTTTGTGAAGTTCGTCGTGGTTGGTGCATTATTTTCTGATTTAACATTTTTATTTAGATGAGATTCAATTTTTACATGATTTTTCTATGCTAAATGATAAAGAAAAAAGTATAAAACTTTTCATACTGCACTGTCGTTGATGAATCTCTGCCAGATGGTGACAATAGTCTTAATATTATGACTGACATCTAAGTGAAAAACCTATTGGCGATAATTTAGTTTAGGATATGAAAACTGAACAAAATATTTCAATCGGATCAATGTTAAATCAGCTGTTTTACTGATTTTCGGTTGTTGTGAAATTTGACATGTCATACAAAAATTATCATAACATCCAAAGTATTTAAATTAATTGTTTCAAATAAAGACTAGCTAATACAAAATTGAATAGAGAAGGCATGTGCATTTTAAAAATTGGATAGCAGTATTGTTAAACAAGTAAAAAAGTAAGGTAAGCACACAATTTTTTTAATGTCAATAATTTGAATATGTGTCTAACATCTTTGAATGTTGTGTGATTTTTATATTTTTGTTGTAATACTGACATTTAAATAGTTTAGATTTATTCTGCACTCATTTATCTTTAATTTGATATATTATATGTCCTGATACAGCCAATACCTTTTCTTCAGGAAGGTTTTAGCTTTGTCATGTTGCAGTAAAAAAAATTCCGCTCAAAATTAATGCTGTCCAAACCCCAGAAAAAAATGTGGTCCTAAAAGAGTTAAATAACTTTTCTCCCTTCAAATGACATTAAAGTTTTTCTTAACTGATGTGGTTTTATCTTAAGAAAGGCTGCTTTTGCCTTGGCAATTCTTGTTCTAATCTTCTACCAGACGCTACGACTGTTCTAATATAGCTGAAAGCAACTTAACATGAAATATTTAATAGTGCTCAAATAATTACATAGTTCTACTAAGTTTATTGTATAGATTTCTGTATTCATTGAATCCTTCACTGTTTTTATTATATGCATTTTCCAGCAAATGGAATGGCATTTAGATGTAACAGAAGTTAACTGGATGAACATATTCCCACCTTGTAATCGTCTGGCCAACTCTTTACAATGTAGTATGTTGGCTAATTTACTCTGTGCATAGGCTGCATTCCTACTGTAGCTCTTGACACTATTGAGATCATCAAAATTAATTCTCCCCCATTTATGAGCAAGAGAAGAGACAATGATGATACGACTTGGAGCAGATGCCTTGATCTTGTCCAGCAGTAAGTTTGTCAGTAAAAAGTGACCTAGGGAGACAAGTAAAATTCATAATGAAATAACTAGGAAACTAAAAATAATACACCATAAAAACGTTATTGCTTTGCTAGTGCCTGGAAAATAAGGTATTCACACACAAAAGCTGTTGTAAAAATCAGATGTCAAAAATTCAGACTAAGAATTTCAATTTTTAAACTTGATTTAAGTCTTTCATTCCCAAGATATGTTTTGTGTTCAGTTAAATCATGTTTAATTTTGTAGTTAATTCTTACCCTTGAATTCCCATCAATGTATATTCTAACTTTTCTTACATTTGTATTAAAAACATTTTAACAATCTAGCTTTAAAAATGGCAAACTCCACTGTGTATAACAAAATGCTATCATTATTTTTCATAAGGGTTATTTCCCAAAGTGATCATCTGCTTCAAAATTAGTCATTACTGAAAGAATTAAAATGTCAATATTCTTGTTTAAAATATAGATAAGCACACCAAAAAAAGAAACATTCTTATATTTGTTAAACAGAATCACATCACTAATCGTCAAGGCACAATGTATGACCACATAGTGCAGAATAATTCCCACACAAACATTTCACAAAAGGTTTAAACAGGTAATTTATACAAGTTTTTAAAGATAAAAGTAACAGAAGCATTTTGAGAAAACATTACTTATGCTTCGTGATAGTTCTAATGTACAATAAAAAAAAATAGTGCAGTTGATACTACAGGAATCTGAAAATGAACAAATTAATGCATTAATTTCTACACATGCAGCAAGCAGGAATTCTAGACTTTCCCTTCATTTCTTGTCATAGTTGTTTTTTTTTATGTTGAGTAACTTCCTGTGTACACAAGACAGACTGAAGGTTTGAACATACAAAATGAATAACATCTAATGGCAGTGACTATACAAAAAAAAAAAAAAAGATGAATTACATGAGAAAAAAAAAAAAAATTAAAAAAAAAAAATATCTTTTTGTTTCCCTTCTTCAGCATCCCGAGCCCTTGGAATTCACTGCTGTAAATATTACCTCCCTTCATTCATCTCTGTGACTGGCTTTTCTTTTCCCAGTTAGTGAATTCAAGTGTTTGTAGGTCTGCCTGTATATTATCTTTCTACTGTCTTCTTTGTTTGCTTTATGACCTATTCTCATTCAACTTTTTTGTGTATGCGGTTTTTGTCTCTGTGTTCCTGTGTGGGTTCCAGGGCCCAATTGTGGGGGAAAACAAGAATAGACCCATTGCTCCCTAACATATCATAAGAGTTGACAAACTGGGGGCTTCCTTCAAAGTCAGAGTGCATTTGCCTGAGAGGCAAGGAACCAACAATCTGCATACAATTAAGTCTGATCTGTTAAACGGATATGCATGCAGCACTAGGTTCTGGAACAAAACTAAAGTGCAGAGGTAGACAAACAACCAGAACTTTCTGCCAGAGTTTACAGCCGGTGAATGCGAAGAAGTCCCTGTTTTATCAAACAAAAATGTGGGCAAAGGAAAAGGGGGAACAACAACTAACTAACTGCACAGTGATCACGACTTTGGAAACTGCAATGTTACCAATGTGATTAACTCCAAACTGCATCTCTAGCCCATCCTGTGTCAACATTTTTGGGCATGCCATTACTCCGGCATTGTTGATGAGTATGTCAATTCGGCTTTCACCTGAAAGAATTAATAATCAGTTTATTCACAAAACATATACACTTGTAATGGATTTATAAATTTCAATGTAACTGCCAGTCGAATAGAGAGATAGCTTGAAAATAAGAGTGGTAAAACATATCCCTAAATGGCTCCATCTACAACTGAGTGGAGATCCTCTATCCTGATAAACGAAGAAGAAATAACAAAATTCGTCTACAGGAAATCATTTGCTCTGGGTGCCTAGATGATAAGAAGTGTTCCTTCAGAATTATTCACAACATATTGAATAGACGTTTACTAAAACTTGCTAAGGCCGTTTCAATAAAACTTAATACTCCGGTTTTCTGTAAACAAAAAGATCATGTGATAAATGTAAAGTTACCATGGTAATCATGTGGCTAATCTTGAATTTTTGATGGGGATATGTACAGCTCAACTTGACAATGAGAAAGTGATTTTGCATTTCAGCAAAACAAGGATTCATTTTCATGCTTCATTATATGTTGTTTTAACTCTTTAGAAATGTACTTGATGAGAAACAGTGAAATATACCAGGCAATAAACTGTATATTGTATTATATGTGTCCTCACTATTTAATTTATAACAAAAAAAAACATTGTTTTGAAAATATAGTAACATTTCTGTTAGACATTCATTCATTCAGTAGCATGTCCCTCGCGGAACCTCGCTGCCATAACAACCCTCCGGAAAACCTTCCTATCCTGAGCAAGATGTCCTGCATCTGATACACCCATCTGGAGATCATCTGCCACATCCTGCACCCATCTTCTCCTTGGCCTTCCTCTTCCTCTCTTCCCAGGCATATACCCCTCCATTATTGTTCTCTCTAGACTTCCATGACGTTTCAAGTGACCAAAATATTTCAATTTTCTTTGTTTTACTGTCTTTACTAGCCAACCCTCTTCAATATTCAGCTCTTGAAGTATGGATGCATTTGTTCTTTTCTTTACCCAAGATATTCTTAGAACCTGTCTGTAACATTTATATTCAAATGCATTTATGCGCTGTTCCGCTTGTTTAGTAAGTGTCCAGGTCTCACAGGCGTATGTTGCAATGGGAAAGATGCATGCTCTTAAAAATCTGACCTTCTGTTAGACAAGTCACTGTAAATGTTCTGTGTGAAAATCAAGAATGCAAGTAAATGTAGTCTCACTGAAGGTACTGCTAGAGCAATGTAACATTTTACGAACTGCGCATATTCTAAATAATGGCATGAGGTGAAGCGGCTCACAAAATTTTGCCCTAAATAAAATTTACAAAATCTGTTGATCCATTCTCACACTGATCTAGAAGCAAAACTTAATCGTAATATTCTAGACCAATATACTGATAAAAGAGAGCATTAATGACTTTGTTACAGTGAATCCAGAAACATGTTGATGAACCTGTAAACATTTCATACAGAAAGTGTGTTTTCCTATTGAAACAGAACAACAACAAAACAAAACAAAATGAATTTAATGTAACATCTAAATATCCCAGTCAGAAAAAAATTTAATCTGTACTATAAAATCTATCACAGATTTATTTATTGAAGTCCCAAAAATTTCATTTTTTGTGATAGACTCTTCACCATGAAACCCAACCATGGTGCAGTGCATTCATATCTATTTCATATTTGGTATGTGAAAAATAGCAGGGTGAACAAGACCAACACATGATCTTCACATATGCAGACAGTTTTAATGGACTCAAAGAGCATACTGAGAAAGGTAGAGACAGGCATGTTCTGTGAAGAGTGGCAAGCATCGCTTCAGAGGTCCCGGGTAGTTAGCTTTCTTTGGATATTTTCTCCAGGTCAAACTTGTGTGTTGGGAAATGAGCAGGCAGACAGACTGGCTAGCTCTGCACCACTTTGTGGTAAATGATGTATGACAAACTAGATGTTCTGGGGGCAAAGGAACAAACAGATCATTAATGTCTGAGAAAAACATCGTTGCAAGGAGTTAAAAGGGGATCTGGCCGACGCTCAACATCTTATGGAAAGGCTAGACCGATATACAATCAGACAGTTACTGGTGCCATCAGAACTGGAACTCTTTGCATGTTGCTGAGGATGGGGACAGAGTGCTTGTGGGAGTGTCCCAAGTCCTGTGATGTCACTTTTTAATTCACCATTCCATATTTGCAGACAGGTATTTTAGAATGTAATGAGACTATGATGTATCACTGCACACAAAGACTGCTTGGAATCCCCGTATTTTCCCCCCTGTAGAAAATACCCCCTCATCCCGAAATCAATATTTAAAAAACATTCGAGTATAATTTTAAACTTTAAAAATCTGAGAAAATATATAATCTTATACATGGAAAATATGGTCAGCCTAGCTTAGTTCATGTTTCTTTTATGCCCTCTACTCAAATTGAATCATATTATAAAATAACAATACAATGAAACATAATGGAGGTTTCAATTCTTGTATAATGCTATAAATCGTTGTAGTTGTGAAGACAGCAAGGGCCAGTAGATCTCTCATGATTTAAGTGAACTAATGTGTAAGTCTTTCGTTTTCAGAAATGTTTGAACAACCGTAAACGTACTCTCATTAATATCCTTGCAGAATTCTTTGATGGAGGCAAAAGAGGCTAGATCCAGTTTTTTCAGGATGACATTGTTGTTGCCAGCTTCTTCAACAATTGCTTTTCTAACAGCTTCACCTTTGACAGTGTCTCGACAAGCCATGATAACGCGACCTCCTGCAGACATAATCAGCATTTAATTTAGTAAATATTTCAGGAAGAGATTGGTAATTTATTTCAACAAGAAAAGGTTGAAACATGTTTATAAAAAGATGCAATGGCAAACTACTGAACGTAAATTTGCCTTGAAAAACTACAACAGCCAAAAAAATGCTGGGGTTGGTTCTGCAACGTCCTGTAAAGGATACGCAACTAACTTTAACTTATAAAAAGAAAAACTTTTAGCAGATAACCTTTGAAAACATCATCAGAGAGCAACAATATTGTCTGAAACAATATGTCATGATCGTTATGTGTCAGACGGGTAAACGTAAGCTGTAATGTTTTGCCATCTCACACGATCACAAGAATCACAGATCAGGTCAATGTTCTTGACCAGCTTCCATCTATGTGGCCAAGCCATCTAGGTATTTATGTGTTTGCCTTCCCTATGCTCTCTCATTCCCTTCCTCTTGCTTTCTCTTTCAATCAATCTTGTCAGTTGTTACCAAGTTCTCAAATTTATTCCTTCTTATAACATGTCAAAAAAACACTGACTGCCTATGTCTAGCTATTCTTATCAGATTAGGATTTTCATCTTTCTCAATGAGGACTTCTTTGTTTTTGCGATCACTCCATGATATTCTTTGCATTCTTCTCAAAAACCACATCTCTGCCATAGTGATTCTTGTTCTTAATTCTACAAAAAATTTTAAAAATTTAAAAAATTAAATTTTTAGCCATTTGCGTTTGTTTCTTAGGTATTTCTTCATTTTTGGTGATGACCATAATTTCTACTTTCCTACAATTTAACTCAAAGGTTAGTTTCTCAATGTGAACAATTACTGCATCACTAGACACAGCAGATCCCTTTCACTGTCTGCAATCAATAACATATCACATGCATTATCTTATAATGAAGAATAAGTAAGCCATGTTGTGCTGTTGCTTATGATAATGATGATGGTTACAGTGATGATGATTATGGCTGACAAGTAACCTAATTCTGCTTCTTCTAGACAGCAACCAATTTTCTTTTACTACCATATTTGTAATTTCCAGTTTTGACTTTTTTCTCCTGTCCTGAAGCTTTTGAGATATAGACAAAAGTTCCTAAACATGCAAATATGATCTACAAATTTGCAAAAACTGGATCTTCCTATAAAACATAAAAGTTACTTACTGCTCCCCATTCCCATACCCCACTACTCAAAACTACAGATTGCACCACTTCCAGTAAAAATGATTGCTTATCAGTAACCCTTTAAAAAAAAAAAATAGTTCTACTCCACTTATCACTGCTGGGCTTATCGCTGCTAGGTTACAGTGCGGAATGTTACATAAAGGAATTTTAGTAGTAGCTCTTAAATATGTATTTATTTCAAGTTTAGTGGTAGCACACAGGTACACATGTGTCAGTCTCTGACCTATATATAATATCTGTCATGATAATCTCAAGCCGTGTGAAGTCTAGGCCTTTACCTATACTTAGCTACACATCATGAAATGGGGTGACACAGTCCCTTACTCAACATATTTCTTTCTTCTTCTTCTTTGCGTTCACCGGCTGTAAACTCAGATAGAAAGTTTTGGCTGTTCTTCTGGAGCTTAGCCTTGTTCCAGAACCTGAGTTTTGTATGTACATCTATTTTACAGATCTAGCTTATTTGTATACAGAGTGTTGTTAGTTGCTCGCTCTCTGGCAAATGCAGTCCAATTTCAAAGGAAACATCCCTTATTAGTTGACTCTTACAAAAGGCTTATTAGAAGTCAGTAGGTCTATTTCTACATTTGTTTTTGAATGCATTTAACTTTTATCCCATGTCTTGTGCATGGTAAAGTCACAAATAATGCCCATCAATGAAATGTTTCCCCATTATAAATTTAAACAAAGAATGCACAACACTATATATTACAATATAATGCCTAGGTCATTTTGCAGTATCACAGTGCATACACACAGTAACAACTCAATAAAAAAAGGAAATGAATGAATCCTTTAAAAGTGAAATACAAAATCAACCACTCTAAAAAAGTTAAACCTGTTTCACTAAGGAAAGCGCAGGTTCACTACCATGTCTCTCTGTTTACACAAATCTGGAAAGGATTGATTAATTATCATCCCAATTACCTCTTCTTGCAAGTTCTCTTGCAGTTTCCATCCCAATGCCCGTGTTGGAACCTGTTATTATCACTGTCTTTCCTTTGATAGTTTCTTTCCCTGTATACTGGCCTCCTGCCATGTATTTTCTGTAACAGAACAATGTGGTAGATTAGATACTACTGCTGGCCTCCTGCCATGTATTTTCTGTAACAGAACATTGTGGTACATTAGATACTACTGCTGGCCTCCTGCCATGTATTTTCTGTAACAGAACAATGTGGTAGATTAGATACTACTGCTGGCCTCCTGCCATGTATTTTCTGTAACAGAACAATGTGGTAGATTAGATACTACTGCTTCATCTTATATACAAAGTATTGTATTGCCTGTGAGCTCTAGAAATGAAAAGTGAGACAACCCAGGCAGAAGACGATTTCTTCTTATAAATCCATGTTGTGTGATGTCGGGTCTCTATGTCTGACCACAGCCTTCTGCAAAATGTTCTGCCAATCCGTTCTGATGTAGATGCCCTGCCAAGTCATTATGTCCAAAAGGACATCGTCTGTCTAGGTCTCTCACTGTCATCTATAATCTTCTACTTTCTTACTGTCACATGATCCTGGCTTTCCATTCTGTTGATACACGTTCAGAATGTGAATTTAGTTCCATTTCAAAATTTCACTACCCCTCCTATTATTTATTCATTGTCCATGGAATGCCTCGTGGCGTCAGTGTCTCTGATATTTCTGCAGCTCATCTTCTTCATGGTTGACCTCCGGCTGTTACCATTGTATCTGAATAGCATTGCTCTCTGTGGTGCCCTGCCTGATGCCAATCTTGTTACATGGTGAAACTATTTTATTTGCTGTCTACCTATAAAGTTAAGTATTGGTTCCTTGCCGACTCTCCTCCTGGTTTAACTGACGCATTAAGAATATTATTTCTTCTCATATTTTTATAGATCAACCAGCAAAAGATGGGTAATATGATCAATATCATGCTGGGGACCATTACTTCCCAGGTCATTAACTGCTATCCATTTAACGTAAGGTCAGTCTGAGAACCAAGGTCACAATTTGAATTAAAAAATCTGACTCAATGTGGATTTGAACCCACAACCTCTGGGCCAGTAGGCAAGCATCTAGCCATCATGCTAACACTGCTACATGAGACAAGTTTAATTACAGAATATATTTAATTGTGAATAATATGCACAACAAAGGACACTTTGCTTTGCTTTGAAGTACATTGCAAAATGTTGTTTAGTTAGTTGTGTATCCTTTACAAGATTTTGCAGAACCAACAGAGGCATTTTTTGACTGTAGTGGTTTTTCTGCGCAAATTTTACTTTAAGTAGTTTGCTAATGCTTTCTCAACAGACAGCGCTCAGTACCACTGTCGAAACAAAATACAAATCATCAGCAGCTGGCAGTACGAAGCGCATTTGCAACGCCTAAGCCACAGATGCCAAAATGTTGATAGCCTCATATTTATACAGATCAAATGGTCAGTCTCAAGCCATGTAGGCAACCCTTTTTTTCCTAGAACCTTTCCTGGTACCAAGTTTAGGCTGAGTCAACCCGGGAGGCCAGGTCAGTAATTAAAACGCCATTCCTCAAATGAGATTTGAACCCATGGGCACCAGGAGAGAAGACATTTGTTAGCTAATGCCCAGTCACAGCTTTTAATAGTATATGTGCAGGTATCATAAAGTCAAATGCACACACAAAAGTAAAATGCACACACAAAAGTAAAATGCACACACAAAAGTAAAATGCACACACAAAAGTAAAATGCACACACAAAAGTAAAATGATGTGCCCTTACTTGAGTAACATCAAACCTCCAACAAAAACAACAATCGCTGCATCGGTGACAAGAGTGCATTCTGAGTGACTTTTCAAACTGAAAGAATACCAGAAAAACTGAACAATCCTTTAGCAAAAAATATTACATCACAGTTGTCTTATTATTTGCTTCATTCATATTCGGACCCTCACCTTACTGACTATTTCTAATAAAAGCAGTATTTGATGTAAGTATAAATAACCTTTCCATACTGTTTTTTTTTTTTTAAATAGTAGTAGTAATTTAAAATATGATATCCTGTTTAACCTATTTGGTTATATTTGGAATGTATAGACTCTATAATAGAGTGTTTTCATGATACTTGTCTGTTTTAAGTTACTTGTCTGTTTTAAGTTACTTGATGCCATATTTATTTAGGTTCATTAATTACTGCAGTCATTGTTAGTATAATTATAATATACTATCATTAATACATTGTCCTGGCTGCAACAGCCTAAATACGGTACCGAGCACACAGTTTTCAAAATAACGAGCAGCCACATTCTCAAGACACCCCAAGATGTTGGAATTGGTTTGTATTTTTTCTTACGTTGGCTTTAATGCAGTTTGAAATTAACCACACTTTTAACGGTTTACAAAAATAAACCAAAGGTAATGTTGCTATTTGTAACTCGTATAGTAGTCTTATCAACGCTTCGCTATCCTGTTCATCTCTTCTTGGCTAAAACAGAACTATATAGAGACAATTTGTATTATATGTAACTATAATATGTTAACTATTAATTATAGATAAGTAGATAAGTACTAGTCTAGTAGTGAATATTTTGTACTGAGCTTTTTTTCGTATATAAGGGCGCCATAATTTTATCATTTACATATGATTAATATTAATAATAACAATGAATCTATCATTTATATTATATGCTAACCACTTAAACGCATTTTAAAGGTCTGTTCTTGCTGACAAAACGCACGAACTCACTCACAGCCTTACCATAGAAGTCTCCTGCCTCCAACAAGGCCGCCAATAAGTGCCAAAGGCACCAAATAGTTATTAACCGTCATCGCCTTCTGATATTATCAATGGTAGCCGCTCCTAGCAACTAATCGATGTAAAACAATATGGCTGTAAACGCATAAATCGTAAGGCGTTGCTGAGCTGTGTTGAGATACTGTTATCTGTTATCTGACCGGGTCTGTTCACTGTGTCTTAAGTTGCGAGCATTTGTAGCAAACATGTGAATGTGGGCCAAGTTCTGCGCTTATACTGGAACGTTTGCGTAATGCTTGAAGAAATGGTGATTCAACAAATAAAGGGAGCCAGGTGTAATGTTACTTTGCAAATGTGTTTCTGTTAGGTAATAAAATAGTAATTAGTATTCTATATTCACGATCTTGTTACCTTAAGCATGGACCCGCCTATCAGTTCGTGACAAGTGGAGTTGTGTGAGGTGGAGGGGGGGGGGGGAGAAAGAGATGGAATAGAAAGAGAATGCATTCTATTAACTATTGACATGCTTTCTGTGTATATCTTATCGAGAGAGGGAGGTGCGAAGCAGAGAGAGAGAGAGAGAGAGAGAGAGAGAGAGAGAGAGAGAGAGAGGGAGGGAGGGGGGAGGAATTTTCTAGTTAAACTATTAACATGTTTTTATGGGTCGTATCCAATACCTATTAATTCGCGCTGGAAATGTAGCTTGCGGGGGGGGGGGGGAGGGGGGGGGGATTTCTAGTAATTTCCCCCTGGTCTCTGGGTAGTAAGACCGCAAGCCCGTGTGTATTGGTGCGCACGTTAAAAAATCTATTGGCAGTTGGAAATCAAAAAGAAGGTCCTAATGGCGCTGCCTGGGCAAAATCCGAAGGTAAAAATCTACCCAAAGTATATCAGTATCCTCGCTGGTGCAACAGAGTCTGGGCACTGTGATGAAATTCTTCGGAGTACTTATGTCTTACACCCGTGTGCAATGTTCTAAAAAAATTACTAAATGTTCGTTGTTTTTTTGTTTTTTTTTTCAAATTACTTTTACCCTGTATCTCCAAGAAGAAGAAGATCTGACTATGAGAAACCACCCACAAGAGATGTTGCTCGTCTTGGCTGCGGGTGAATCTCTTGGTCAAGGGTTGAGTCTCAGCAGCACAGTACCGATTACTCACGCCAAGCACTCCTTACTTTTCCATCTCCCATAATTCCGTTCATGTCTTCCCTATATAATCTTCTTCTCTTCTTCTTCGTTCACCTGCTGTGAATTCTGGCGGAAGGTCGAGGTTAATCGCCCGCTTGAACTTTAGGCTTTTACCTGGACCTGAGTTTTGCGTGTACAACCGTTTTACTGGCTTTTGACGTCGGCCTATTTCTAGGATGACTGTCGCCATTGTTTTGTGTGGGTCGAGATGTGACCTTATTTGTGTGGTGTCCTCTTTGTCCCTTTCTCCACAGGTGTTGCCCCCGGAGTACCCCCAATGGGGCAGTCCCGTGTGGAACGGTTAGCCTTCAAGAGAAGGCAGTGGCAGATCATGGGCATTCCCCGCCATCCAAGTAGGCTTCCATAAAAGCAGAGCCGATACATAACGCTCTGGTTCTGGGCTCACCCAAGGAATCGTCACGTCCTGCACATAACTGCTTAACCTCACAACCGTATTAGGCTTCCCGCTCAACACGGGTTGCGCCCTCTGGGGATCAGCGGGGAGCAGACCGTGGGTTCTGGACTTTAGGACCACACAAATAGGTATATTCTTCTTCGTTGCACGTTAAGACACCTTTAACGTTGTTTCAAATGTGCCCTTAGCAGGACAGTATGGGTAAGCATGCGTCAGGCGTGGCTTCACCTGTTTGGTCCCAACACTCGGGCGAGTGGGGCCAGTGTATATGGACATTTGGACTTTTTCTAATCGGTACAAATTGTGATGGTCGGACTTTGAGCTTGCTTGTGTGCCGTAGGATCTAACTTTGTCGGACATTATTAACTATCCAGCAGATGAAAAGTTGCTGTCGTTGTGTACCTCAGCGCGGTGACGACGACGCTGAGGATTGACAGAGGGTGTGCGTAGGTAGGATCTGACTATGAGAAACCACCCACAAGAGATGTTGCTCGTCTTGGCTGCGGGTGAATCTCTTGGTCAAGGGTTGAGCCTCAGCGGCACAGTTGTCCATTCGCTCCAGACTTTTAACAGAGATTTGTCATTTGGTGGCACATTTGCCAAGCAGACTTTACTCATGTACAAAATGAGTTTTGATAGACTTTTCACCCATGCGTTTGGGGGCAGGCTGATGAGGGTCAGAAAGGACACTACACCTCTGGGGGTGCCAGCTCCGAGATCCTCTGCCAACTCTGT